CCGTTCATTGGCGAGCGACCCATCACTGAAGGGTACAATTATGTACCTATAACTAATGGTACAATGGACGTACATTACAGGGTCAATATCATACTGGGTAAACTTACTGTGACTGTTGTAATTAAAATGGTCAAAAATAAACAAAAATAGCTTCTTAGCAAAGAGCAATTTCTCAAGCAATAATTTTGCTAGGACTGTCTGGGAGTGGTCTGATTGGAGAGGGGAAAACTGAAAACGAACTGTTATTGGCGGAGAGGTTTGGAATTCTCTTTCTTATTTGTCTATTAATTAATTAACTAAAGCTCTTTAACTTTCACAACACAATAACTGTTAGATATCTGAAACATTATAACAAAGATGCATTTATTGATCACTTGAGTAAAGTTAATTGGGACCTGGTACTTACATGTCTAGATATGGATAAAGCATGGGACTGTTTCAACTGTTTCTTAAGCATTGTGGATAAAGTGGCTCCATGGAAAACTGTAAGAGTTAAACAAAGAACTGAACCTTGGATGAATTAAGAAATCCTTGAGGCCATTAAATCAAGGAATACTGCATTTCGAGAATATAACAGAACCAAAGAGGAAGATGCCATCACTAGACACAGAACCCTAAGGAACAAGGCTAGTCAGGTGACTGAAGATGCCAAAAAATATATTTTAAATACAATATTGGTGAAAATAGGAATAATCTCAGGAAGTTGTGGCATTCCCTAAAACAGTTGGCATATAGTGATAAACAGAAACAAATTGCAAAAGCTTGGGTCTTGAGGTCAATGGAGAAATTACGTTTGGCAAGGAAGTGGCAGCTAAAAATCTCAATATCTTTTTCACAACAGTTGCCTCAGATTTAGTTGAGAAGCTACATGGTTGTACTGGAGTGTATGGGGAGGGTCAGGACCAAGGCCATTACTCCAAGATGAGTGTACAAGCTGATGCCTTTTCCTTTACAGCAGTGTCTCAGGCTGAAGTTGTCAAGAGACTGTTTGAACTAAACTGCTCTAAAGCTACAGGCCTTGACAATATCCCTGACAGGCTTTTAAGATATGGTGCTGAATTTATTGCCCCCTGTGTCACCCATTTAATCAACATCTCTATTGAGCAGGGAAAGGTTCCCACGCATACGAAACATGCTAGAGTGATCCTATCCACAAGAAGGGCAGCAAAACACACAAGGGAACTATAGACCTGTATCTATTTTGAGTGTGGTGTCTAAAGTGCTGGAAAAAGTACTTTACTAACAGATGAATATATTAGCAATAATAATATTTTATATGAACTACAGTTTGGCATATGAAAGTCCCACTCCACTGACAAGTCTATTGTTTTTAACTGACTTTATCAGGACATTTCTGTGGAATGGTAATGCTGGATCTGCAGAAGGCATTTGACAAGGTTGATCATAGGATCATGCTTTTGGTTTTAACAGCAGGGCCATTGACTGGGTTAGATCCTATTTATCTGGTAGAGACCAAATGGTGGATGTTAATGGAAAACTTTCTAGCAGTGGTCACCAACCTTTTATGACTCAAGATCACTTTCACAGCCAAAAAGCAAGTCGAGATCTGCCGCTCAAAAAAATAAAAAAAACATTACTTTAAAAAATGTAACATTAACCTAATAAAAACAGTTCAGACGGCCCTGTATATGTGCCTCGAAACCTTAATGACTTGGAGAAGATCTGCAAAGAGGAGTGTGTCACGCCCTGGCTCTGGGGACTCTCGTATGTTGAGCCAGGGTGTTCATTTCTAGGGTCTAGTTGTTGTATATCTATGTTGGCCAGGGTGGCTCCCAATCAGAGACGGCTGTCGCTCGTTGTCTCTGATTGGGAGTCATACTTAGGTAGCCGTTAGGCATTCATTCATTGTGGTTTCTTGTTTCTACTCTGTTTATGTTAGACCGTGAACTGTCACGTATCGTTTGTTGTTTTGATCGTGTGATCATTAATTAAATAAATATGTTCGCATTCAACGCTGCGCCTTGGTCCTCCTCTGTAGACGACGATCGTGACAGAGTGGAACAAAATCCCTCCTGAGATGTGTGCAAACCTGGTGGCCAACTACAAGAAACGTCTGACCTCTGTGATTGCCAACAAGGGTTTGCCACCGAGTACTAAGTCATGTTTGGCAGAGGGGTCAAATACTTATTTCCCTCATTAAAATGCAAATCAATTTATAGCATTTCTGACATGCGTTTTTCTGGATTTTTTTGTTGTTATTCTGTCTCTCACTGTTCAAATAAACCTACCATTAAAATTATAGACTGATCATTTCTTTGTCTGTGGGCAAACGTACAAAATCAGCAGGGGATCAAATACTTTTTTCCCCTCACTGTATGCCTGACCTGCCAATATTGTTATTCTCAGACCATATTATATTTCAAAATTCGCGCTTTGATAAAAAAAAATTGATCAGTTGGTGTAGCACTTGCGAGGCACAGCTGAGCATAAATATAAATAATTTTCATTTTTATTTTACTGGACTGATGGTACCTGCATCTGATGGTCATGGTGCTTTCAAGACAACTGTGAACTTGGAAAAACGATTTTCCCCAATCGGATTGTCTTGAACGCACTGAAGTCGGAAGTTCCCAGTTGTTTTGAAAACTGCATTAGTCTCAGAAGCCTTCCTTTTCTGCGGTGAGACTGACCAGAGAGAGGACACAGTCTTCCACCTGATGGAGAAAATCGAGTCGCACCGCATCTGCCTCAGGCACAAATTCATTTTGTTCCTATGACCACAGAAAGTGCAATACTCCTCGATATAAAGATATACACTACAGTTCAAAAGTTTGGGGTCACTTATTAATGTCCTTGTTTTCGAAAGAAAAGCAATTTTTTTTGTCCATTAAAATAACATTAAATTGATCAGAAATACAGTGTAGACATTGTTAATGTTGTAAATGGCTATTGTAGCTGAAAACAGCTGGTTTTTAATCTACATAGGCATACAGAGGGCCATTATCAGCAACCATCAGTCCTGTGTTCCAATGGCACGTTGTGTTTGCTAATCCAAGTTTATCATTATAAAAGGCTAATTGATCATTAGAAAACTATTTTGCAATTATTTTAGCACAGCTGCAAACTGTTGTGCTGATTAAAGAAGCAATAAAACTGGCCTTCTTGAGACTAGTTGAGTATCTGAATTATCAGCAATTGTGGATTTGATTACAGGCTCAAAATGGCCAGAAACAAATAACTTTCTTCTGAAACTCATCAGTCTATTCTTGTTCTGAGAAATGAGGCTATTCCATGCGAGGAATTGCCAAGAAACTGAAGATCTCATACAACGCTGTGTACTACTCCCTTCACAGAACAGCGTAAACTGGCTCTAACCAGAATAGAAAGAGGAGTGGGAGGCCTCGGTGCACAACTGAGCAAGAGGACAAATAAATTAGAGTGTCTAGTTTGAGAAACAGGCACCTCACAGGTCCTCAACTGGCAGCTTTATTAACTAGTACCCGCAAAATACCAGTCTCAATGTCAACAGTGAAGAGGTGACTCCGGGATGCTGACCTTCTAGGCAGAGTTTCAAAGAAAAAGCCATATCTCAGACTGGCCAATAAAAGAAAATATTAAAATTGGCAGTCTGAGATATGGCCATTGGAACACAGGACTGATGGTTGCTGATAATGGGCCTCTGTACGCCTATGTAGATATTCCATTAGAAATAAGCCGTTTCCAGCTACAATAGCCATTTACAACATTAACAATGTCTGCACTATTTCTGATCAATTTGATGTTATTTTAATGGACAAAAAAATGTGCTTTTCTTTCGACAACAAGGACATTTCTAAGTGACCCCAAACGTTTGAACGGTAGTGTATGACGAGCTGCTAATAATAATACAATCGCAGGGCTATCGATACACTTGGCTACTCATTCAATGCAGAGCGAGTGGAAGTAGAGAGAAGCACGTTTTATGTTTTGTAATAGTGTTGAATAAAAACAGTGTTGAAAGTGCTGAATAAAACTTAGACATGAACTCACTCATAAAAACAGCAGTTCTCTGCTGTATTGTAAATTGCTTTTGTATGTGGATGACTGCTCTACTGGTGTCCCACTTTAGAGCAAAGCCTCAATAGAAGAGATCCTTAGTACAGTTATCCAATATCAGTAAATTGCTTTCAGATAACACATTTAACTTATTTGGTTCCAGAGTAAAGCTGGCAAGGTCACCTGGTTTTAGTGTCAAAATAGGCAACTCAGTGGTTACACCAAAAACATCAGTCAGCTACCTTGGGTGTGAATTGGATAGGTACCTGACTGGTGAGACTATGGCCCTGAAGGTTTTAACAAAGGTAAACCAAAAAATGTAATTCAAAATATCTTGATGTGACACCCTAAAGACTCTGGCAGGTGTGCTAGTTCAGTATCACTTTGATTATGCGTGCACATCACGGCTCACCAGCATCCCTAAACATCTAAAGAATAACCTACAGACCAGCCAAAACAAGCTGGTGAGGTTTTTACTTAAACTCCCCCCACTCATCTGGAGGTCGAGCATTTTAATCAGCTAGAGAAAAGGGTCATATTAATTCAGCTTGGTCTGGTCCATAGAATCATTACTGACTCAGCTCCTAGGTACCTATCAAATAATTTACTTATATTAGAGATGTCCACCAATACAACACCAAAGCCAGAAACTCTGATATTGCCTGTTTTAAATGTAAGAGTATCTAGTAAGAACACCTTTTTATATACCCTCGCTGTTGTCCAAAACTCCATCCCACAAAAACAGGCTGAAATTTCAGGCAGCCTTTTCAACCAGCTCTTACACTAAAAGGGCATTATCATTTTCACAATTTCACAGTATTATTCCAACCTCATAGTGTGGAAATATATATAAAACACAGGAAAAACACATTTGTGACTGCACTGGGCCTTTAAAGATGTGGCTTGAGAAAACATTGCAAGAAGGAACAGACAGCAAGACAGAAAACCATAGAGATACAATATAATGCTGATAATGTTCCATTTAATTTTGTGTAGGGAACGTACTATTCCAGTACCAGGATGATGTCATTTCTGGACTCGTAGGCGGCGTAGAGCTGGATCAGGTTGGCATGGTCCAACTGGTTCATGACCATGATCTCATTCTTGACCACCTCCTACATACCAAACACACACAAACCACACAATGAGAGGTGTCAGATGTTCACTTACAGCTAGCAGGCAACGTAAGGCTTCTCTTTTCTGGGTCAAATTAAGACATTTTGAGAAATATATTCCCCATCCATGTAGAGTGAAAAGGCCTTAGAGCGTTATGTTCCGATGGCTACTTCCACATTTTGAATAGAAAACAAAGTAGTTTTCAAGGAAGCTACAAGGATGTGTAGAGGTTTTTACATGCATGCAAATCATGTAAAAAATGACTTTGTACCTTTTCTTTCTGACTCCGGGCTTTGATGATTTTGGAAGCTAGGGTGAGACCTGAGGAGTTTTCCATGCATTTGTGCACCTGGCCAAAACGACCCCTAAGAGAGAGTAAAGATAAGTAAGCTGTCTTCAGTTCAAAGTTTCTGAGGTACATCTGTCTGTGTCATTTTATGATTTATAATGGGAACGTTTCAACGTAACCATACTCCCTCAACAGGGGTCAGTCTGACTAAGACTTGCCAAAACTATCACCTGTAAGTCACAAATCCTAGAATGTTACACATGAAGATAATACATCCCCTGAATTGAGTGGGATCTCATGGTCAGAACTTGAACTATCAGAATTATTTTATCAGTATGTCCTCAAATACAAAATCAGATCTCTTCCAATACAGGAGAGTAATATCATTTTGTGAAGGTATTGTATTTTGTATTTATTTATCCTTTATTTCAATAAATGAGAGTAGGAGGCCTCTCTTTGAAGATTTTGATTAACACTTAGCGATTAGCTACCAGCTGGCAGAGGGGTATGGTTTCACATACCCTGAAGGCCTCGAGTAAAAATAACTTTGGAGTTATGAACCAGGAGAGAGGAGAGGAGAGGGGGGGGGGGGGGGGTTACACAACTCAACTTGTCGAGGACCTCTCTTCCTCTCGCTCGGTCTTTGATCTAGGTCAGATACGGTTTGTTTTGTGGGTTCAGTTCCAAAAGACCCATTGGAGAATGTACTAATTTATAATAACTCAGTATGATGCAGAACAGAACAGTCTTCCTCGTAAAACTAACTATCCTACCGATCCTTGACCGGCGATGTCATTTACAAAATAGCCTCCAACACTCTTCTCAGCAAATTGGATGTAGTCTATCACAGTGCCATCCGTTTTGTCACAAAAGCCCCATATACTACCCACCACTGTGACCTGTACACTCTTGTTGGCTGGTCCTCACTACATATTCGTTGCCAAACCCACTGGCTCCAGGCCATCTATAAATCACTGCTAGGCAAATCCCCGCCTTATCTTAGCTCATTGGTCACCATAGCAACACCCATTAGTAGTATGCGCTCCAGCAGGTATATCTCACTGGTCATCCCCAAAGCCAACACCTCCTTTGGCCGCCATTCCTTCCAGTTCTCTGCTGCCAATGACTGGAACAAACTGCAAAAATCTCTGAAACTGGAGACTCTTATCTCCTTCACTAACTTTAAGCATCAGTTATCAGAGCACCTTACCGATCACTGCACCTGTACACAGCCCATTTGAAATTAGCCCACCCAACTACCTCATCCCCATATTGTTATTTATTTTGCTCATTTGCACCCCAGTATCTCTATTTGCACATTCCAGTGTTAATACTAATTGTAATTATTTTGCACTATGGCCTATTTATTGCCTTACCTCCATAACTTGCTACATTTGCACACACTGTATATATATTTTCTGTTGTATTTTTTACTTTATGTTTTGTTTTACCCCATATGTAACTCTGTGTTGTTGTTTTTATCGCACTGCTTTGCTTTATCTTGGCCAGGTCACAGTTGTAAATGAGAACTTGTTCTCAACTGGCTTACCTGGTTAAATAAAGGTGAAATAAAATTAAATAAATAAATAAACAGAGTGTGATGGAGAGGAGTCGTTGATAGCCTGTGCTCCCTGAGGAGCGATAGGCCTAAGCAGGAACTATTTTACGTTCCTAGTTGAAACATTGCAGGAATAAATAAGAGATAAGATTACTTAATTTGTCAATTGCACACAAGGTACAAATTAAATGTACTTCTGCTTTTAACCCAACCCCTCCGAAAGAAATACAATACATACAGGTTTTTGGAGAGGTTTGGGCGGCTGCCACACTGGGCGCCCGGGAAGCTGTTGTTGTGGGGGGTTAAGTGCCATGCTCAAGGGCATAATGGCATCTAGGATTTGATACTAGCAACCCTCCGGTTGATGGCTCACCTCTCTAACCCCTAGGCTACCTGCCGCCCATGTGTTATTTGACATGGATATACTTGTTCTTGAATTTGAAAATGAACAGTTGAAAAGTCATTTTTACCTCCTGGTTCAAGTCATCATGTATCGCTAGGAACAGGGTTGAAACACTTACCCTCCTAGAACCTCAGCTCTGTTGATGGTGTAAAAGTTGTTGATCTGGTTGGGTTTGGCCGACACTATCCGATGGTTGAATGGAGCCGGTGGAGGAGGGCTTTTGTCTAAAGGGAGATACAAATATATTCTTCTTTATTCATCCTTCATTCAACCAGGGAAGTCACATTGAGAATGACATCAAGTGAGCCCTGGCAAACAGTAGCATGGAGGGGAAATATAAGCTAATCAGTTAGCATGTGCCTCTAGTAATGGTACCACATGATTGTCATAATCAAGTTATCACCATGTGCTTACTAACACACTGTGGTAAACATAACAGGAGATACAATGTTGGTTATGCAAACTTCAGTTCTCTCATACTTTGTTACTCCTAGAGAGCATGCTTTTACATCCAAATTCAATAAGGTTATGAACATTTTCTACACAAAGAGATAGCAATTGCCACCATATCAGCAATCTATTGGACTTCATATTAGGCCCGAATCCTAAGATCTGTTTGCGTAACGCCAGTCTTCCACTGAGATCAATGTGTGATTTATGGAATCTTGTGCACATTTCAAATTAAGATTCCACTTATCACCTTTCCCCCATACTTAAAGCCACAGTACCCCATAACGATGCTGGTCCTCACCAATAAAGAACTGTTCCCCAGTAGACTGCTTGACTTCTGCAGCCTGATCTTTCCCCAGCCTCTCTTTCAGCTCCACATGGATATCCACCCCGTCTGCCTTGAAGACACCCAATCCCTCGTCCTCATCCTCTGTCCTCTCTGTTTCTTCCTCCTCCTTCCTCTCCCCCTCCCTCTCCTCCTCCTCCTCCTCTCCTTCTCCTCCCTCTACCCGACTCTTCTTGTGGTCCTCTACTCCCAGGTCTTCCTCCATCACCCGACGCTTACTGCTGGTGCTGCCTTCCTCCATCTGGTCCTGTTCTGCTGCCTCCAGAGACAGAGAGGAGGCACTTTTGTTGTGCTCTTCACAGCTGGAACAGAGAGACATGTGGAATGTTGTTTCGCATTACATTTTACATTTTAGCAGACGCTCTTATCCAGAGCGACTTACAGGAGCAATTAGGGTTAAGTGCCTTGCTCAAGGGCACATCAGCAGGTTTTTCACCTAGTCGGCTCTGGGATTAGAACCAGCAACCTTTCGGTTACTGGCACAACGCTCTTAACCACTAAGCTACCTGCCGCTCCTGTACAGTGGGGAGAACAAGTATTTGATACACTGCCGATTTTGCAGGTTTTCCTACTTACAAAGCATGTAGAGGTCTGTAATTTTTATCATAGGTACATTTCAACTGTGAGAGACGGAATCTAAAAATCCAGAAAATCACATTGTATGATTTTTAAGTAATTCATTTGCATTTTATTGCATGACATAAGTATTTGATACATCAGAAAAGCAGAACTTAATATTTGGTACAGAAACCTTTGTTTGCAATTACAGAGATCATACGTTTCCTGTAGGTCTTGACCAGGTTTGCACACACTGCAGCAGGGATTTTGGCCCACTCCTCCATACAGACCTTCTCCAGATCCTTCAGGTTTCGGGGCTGTCGCTGGGCAATATGGACTTTCAGCTCCCTCCAAAGATTTTCTATTGGGTTCAGGTCTGGAGACTGGCTAGGCCACTCCAGGACCTTGAGATGCTTCTTACGGAGCCACTCCATAGTTGCCCTGGCTGTGTGTTTCGGGTCGTTGTCATGCTGGAAGACCCAGCCACAACCCATCTTCAATGCTCTTTCTGAGGGAAGGAGGTTGTTGGCCAAGATCTCGCGATACATGGCCCCATCCATCCTCCCCTCAATACGGTGCAGTCGTCCTGTCCCCTTTGCAGAAAAGCATCCCCAAAGAATGATGTTTCCACCTCCATGCTTCACGGTTGGGATGGTGTTCTTGGGGTTATACTCATCCTTCTTCTTCCTCCAAACACGGCGAGTGGAGTTTAGACCAAAAAGCTCTATTTTTGTCTCATCAGACCACATGACCTTCTCCCATTCCTCCTCTGGATCATCCAGATGGTCATTGGCAAACTTCAGACGGGCCTGGACATGCGCTGGCTTGAGCAGGGGGACCTTGCGTGCACTGCAGGATTTTAATCCATGACGGCGTAGTGTGTTACTAATGGTTTTCTTTGAGACTGTGGTCCCAGCTCTCTTCAGGTCATTGACCAGGTCCTGCCGTGTAGTTCTGGGCTGATCCCTCACCTTCCTCATGATCATTGATGCCCCACGAGGTGAGATCTTGCATGGAGCCCCAGACCGAGGGTGATTGACCGTCATCTTGAACTTCTTCCATTTTCTAATAATTGCGGCAACAGTTGTTGCCTTCTCACCAAGCTGCTTGCCTATTGTCCTGTAGCCCACCCCAGCCTTGTGCAGGTCTACAATTTTATCCCTGATGTCCTTACACAGCTCTCTGGTCTTGGCCATTGTGGAGAGGTTGGAGTCTGTTTGATTGAGTGTGTGGACAGGTGTCTTTTATACAGTTAACGAGTTCAAACAGGTGCAGTTGATACAGGTAATGAGTGGAGAACAGGAGGGCTTCTTAAAGAAAAATTAACAGGTCTGTGAGAGCCGGAATTCTTACTGGTTGGTAGGTGATCAAATACTTATGTCATGCAATAAAATGCAAATTAATTACTTAAAAATCATACAATGTGGTTTTCTGGATTTTTGTTTTACATTCCGTCTCTCACAGTTGAAGTGTACCTATGATAAAAATTACAGACCTCTACATGCTTTGTAAGTAGGAAAACCTGCAAAATCGGCAGTGTATCAAATACTTGTTCTCCCCACTGTATATGTGGAAGAGAGGGATCAGCACATAGAGCACTTGTGAAGTAGGGCAAGTGAGAGGTAGAGTAAGATAGTGCGAAAGGGAGACAAAGAGAGAGAAATAAATAAATACATAGAACGAAATAAATAGGAAGAGATTGAGGGTAGAGGAGATAATGTACCTCTCGGGAATGGAGTCAGTATCTCCTGGAGCTTCAGGGGAGGGTGGGAGAGGAGGGAGATCCTTTACTGACATAACAACAGCTTCTGATGGGCCTTTAGAGAGTGCAGTATCCCCCTCTTTCTCCTTCTCCCCCTCTTTCTCCTCCACTCCTCTTTCCTCCTCAGGCTGCTCTGTGGTTTTCAACAGCTCCTCCTCTTTCTCCTCTTCCTTAGATTCATTAAGGTGGTCTTCCTTCTCCTCCTTTTGTACAGCCTCCTCCTCCTTCCTCTCTTCCACTTTTAGTCCATCTCCTGCTGCCGCCCTCTCCTCCTCAGACAATGACTCCACGGGGGCCTTGGGGCCCTCAAGGATAAAGTCCAGCAGGTTTGGGCTGAGGGACCCCTCTGAGGCCCCTCCAGATCCAGCCTCCAGGTCCAGGAAGCCGTCAGGGGTGAGCTGCTGCTGCTGGTGACCTGATGATGATGATGATCTCTCTGCATTCTCCCTGTTGAGCTTCTGAACCTCCTCTAGCAGCAATGCCTGCTTCCTAAGGGAGATGGTATCTGCAGAGGGACAAACAGAATGTCAGAGGGGACACAGTTATAACTAATTGAACCACCTGCATGAATGTCACTTTGGTAACTTTAATCAGACAATTGGACAATACCTCAGAATGTCAACACACTCCTAGTACCCTCCTGAGAGGAAGGCAAGTGGATGTCTGATGTTTCAGTCTGACCTTTTGAGCTCTTTGATGTTTCTGTGTCATGATGTACAATACTGTTGTTTACGTCTGACAGGAAGTATGTTGTGACTAGCCAGTTCCCTTTCCTTTGGCTAAAAAGAAAGTATCGATTTTTCCTCTGCCAATTTCAAAGCTTTCAGAACAGGTGTTGTTTACATCTCACATGTTACATGTTGTGAGTGCTGCTGTGTGTGATTTAGGTTGTTTTGACTAATAAAGGTCACTGTGTGTGTGTGTGTGTGTGTGTGGTGTATGGCTGTGAGGTACTATTGACACATTTGAATGTGCTGTGATGTGAGCACCTGCTGTGTCTGGGGGCTTCTTCTTTTTCTGTGCTTTCAGACCCTTCGGGCTCAGACCCAACTTCTCCTTCCCATCCTTCTTCTTGTGATCTTTTGGCTAAAGGAAAGGAAGAACGAGAGATAAGATCATCACGCTCTGCATTTGGTCTGCATGTCAACATTCTTTAAAATGAGGTTAGGTATGTATATTTCCCATAAACCACTACCAGAATGCAATTACAATATTTACTGCTCAGAAGCTTCATGAAAACATGTTTTCTGTGAGCAATTTAACACATTCAACGTTTCTGCTGGGTTTGCAGGTTGCAAGGAAATTATTTGGTCCATGGAGCTTTGTTGTCTTATGACTCTGAGTGGTCTCCGGGTGCTGGGTTTGGGTTCACATGCAGGATTTATCATCCCTTGAGTCCCTTTAGTGGCTTTAGTAGAGGTTGTTTTCTGTTAAGAAGACATACAGCATAGCAATGCTAGTTGGACAGGGTGAATGGCATGCAACATGAGATGGATAAATACACAGTTAGGGAGGGTAAGGAGGAAGGGTGAGGGGTGGTGAGGGGGGGGGGGGGGGGGGGTAAGGAGGAAGGGTGAGGGGTGGTGAGGGGGGTGGGTTACAATTGAACAACAAAAATGGAAACAGTACATGAAAGAGTAAGGAAGAATGACATTAAAATGGCCGTCAAACATATAACCTAGCCTTATCAGTTGTTATATTCAGGGTAGCACCCTAATACTGCATTAATATGCATTAATATAAAGACAAACTTGTTTCAGTCAAAGTATGCTGTTGATTGCCCACAGCAGATTAATGGATAGGGTGTTACATATGTAAGAGGATGTGAATTTTTAGCATATCACCTGTCATAGTGAGCAATAGCATGCAATGCCGACCCTGAGCGGAAACATTTCTCGCAACCAACCAAACAAGTCTTGTCAAACAGACATCGGTAAGGCAGGTCTCACTAGTACTACAGTAAACGCTCCAGTCCTTTTATGAGCAGGTCAACATCTTAATAAATGTCTCAAGGCATGACCCTTGAGGGCCTTTTAAGTGTTGTTGGTTGTGAGGTAAGCACTGCTCAGTAGTAAGCCAGAGGAGATATTTTGAGGATGGGGTTTCCACAGTAACAGCAGTGTTTCTTCCTGAAGGACAAATCTAAGGATGGGGGGGTTGGGTACAGTGTGTGTGTGGTGTGTGTGTGTGGGGGGACTAAAGTGACAGATGTCTGTGGTAGACAGACATCTCACACCTTGGAGGTGAAGGGAGCCGGCCGGAGGCTGAAGGTACCACCTGACGAAAGCTCTGACGACAATGAGAATTCCTGGCGATCTGAGTCATACAGTAGCCAATAACAGAGGTATGTATGCTGCCGTAATGTGTGGACTTATAAACCGTAAACATCTGGTTTTCAGGGATACAGTATCTTCAACCTAGCTTCCTTTTCCCCTGAAAACCGGATGTAGGGACCCCGCTCAGACGTTTATTTTATGCCTGCTACGTTAGATTAGGACATATATGACCTCAGAGTTGAGTTTCAGTTCTAACCTCAAATCAAGCTGAAAATGTTATGTCTGTATCAAATGTGCCTGTTTTGTGCTAGAACTGTGTTGAAATGGAAGGACCCTTAACTAACCAAATAAGGGTCAACTACATTAAAATGATCCGATACCAGTACCTATTTACAGTACCCCTTTCCTTATTTCCTAGTTCATCTACTTTACACTACTCTACACCATGAAATGTGGAAACTCTTACACTACACTGTATCTCATTCACCATCTAAATAATTTGGTCTATGCTTGATTAGATTTTTTTAATAAAATCAAATAATAGACCCTGCAGGTAATTGACCCTGGGCATGAAAACAGATATCTGCCTGGCATCCACCCTCATGCCAGTGATGGAGAGTGATGGGGTACCTATAAGTCCCGCTTAAGGCTTTACAGTACTACCCATTGACCTTCAGTGTCTGTGCCTAAGTCCACACTTCAAATAAAATAAAATACTATTTTATTTGCCACATGTGCTGAATACAACAGGTGTAGACATTACCGTGAAATGCTTACTTACAGCCCTTAACCAACAAGGCATTTATTTTTTAATAAAAAAGTAAAATTAAACAACAACAACAAAAAATTGTTGAGAAAAAAAGAGCAGAAGTAAAATAAAATAACAGTAGGGAGGCTATATACAGGGGGGTACCGGTGCAGAGTCAATGTGCGGGGGAACCGGCTAGTTTAAGTAGTTGAGGTAATAAGTACATGTGGGTAGAGTTAAAGTGACTATGCATAAATAATTAACAGAGTAGCAGCAGCGTAAAAAGATGGGGTGGGGGTGGGGGGCAGTGCAAATAGTGCAGGTACATTTACATTACATTTACATTTTAGTCATTTAGCAGACGCTCTTATCCAGAGCGACTTACAGTTAGTGAATACATTTTTTTTATTTTTATACTGTCCCCCCGTGGGAATCGAACCCACAACCCTGGCGTTGCAAACGCCATGCTCTATCAACTGAGCTACATCCCTGCCGGCCATTCCCTCCCCTACCCTGGACGACGCTGGGCCAATTGTGCGCCGCCCATGAGTCTCCCGGTCACGGCCGGCTGCGACAGAGCCTGGATTCGAACCAGGATCTAGTGGCACAGTTAGCACTGCGATGCAGTGCCTTAGACTAGCCATGATTAGCTGTTCAGGAGTCTTATGGCTTGGGGGTAGAAGCTGTTGAGAAGCCTTTTGGACCTAGACTTGGCGCTCCGGTACCGCTTGCCGTGCGGTAGCAGAGAGAACAGTCTATGACTAGGGTGGCTGGAGTCTTTGACAGTTTTGAGGGCCTTCCTCTGACACCGCCTGGTATAGAGGTCCTGGATGGCAGGAAGCTTGGCCCCAGTGATGTACTGGGCCGTACGCACTACCCTCTGTAGTGCCTTGCGGTCGGAGGCCGAGCAGTTGCCATACCAGGCGGTGATGCAACCAGTCAGGATGCTCTCGATGGTGCAGCTGTATAACTTTTTGAGGATCTGAGGACCCATGCCAAATCTTTTCAGTCTCCTGAGGGGGAATAGGCTTTGTCGTGCCCTCTTCACGACTGTCTTGGTGTGTTTGGACCATGATAGTTTGTTGGTGATGTGGACACCAAGGAACTTGAAGCTTTCAACCTGTTCCACTACAGCGTGTTACTGCTGTTCACATTGGATCAAAAATGTCAAGTGCTTGTTGAAGTTGGAAGGAAGTGACTGCCACTTAAGCCCAGAGGAATTGGGTGTAAAGTTCATCTTCCACAACATAAACAGTGCTACTCATTGTGCTTGGATTGCTTAGCCCAGTGCAGTAGACAGTTGCCACTATGATTCAAATTAATCTCTTTATGTTATCTATTCAGTACCAAATCTAGTCAACCAAACGCTTCCAGTAACTTCCCTAAGATAAACAAATATATATATTTCGTCACATACACTGGATAGGTACAGTGAAATGTGTTGTTTTACAGGTTCAGCCATAGTAGTACAGCGCCAACAGAGCAAATTAGGGTTAAGTGCTTTGTTCAAGGGTACATCAACAGATTTTCACCTTGTCGTCTCGGGTATTTAATCCAGCAACCTTTCAGTTACTGGCCCAACGCTCTAACCAATAGGCTACCTCTCACCCCTGTCGCTACCTGTCACCAATGAGTCCTTAACCAGTTCGATCCCTATTTAAGCCACATGCCTGCTACTAGTACATCGGCAAATACATTCTACCGGCCCAGCACTCCATCCCCAAGCAATACTATGAATCTGAAAACAGCATCTACAGCATATAGAACCACTCCACTATTAAAAACACACTCCCCTATACAGGTCAATCACCTTCTGCCTATTTTAAGCCACTCAATCTGAAGAAGTGTCAACCTCTGTGAAATGTATCACACAGTTTAAAGTACAGACATTTACTAGACCCTTTAGATCAATGGCTGTTTGACAATGTTACTATGGCGGGAGGTAAATAAGGTACATGGGGGGTGCCCTGAATTGTAATGCATATATAGGTAAGAAAACTCACGTACACAACACACGTCACTGAAACCGTAGTACACCTACAGGATTGAGGGGGTGAGAGAGACAGAGAGACAGAAAGTAAGAGAGAGAGAGAGAGAGAGAGAGAGAGAGAGAGAGAGAGAGAGAGAGAGAGAGAGAGAGAGAGAGAGAGAGAGTGAATGACAGGGAGAGAGAGAGAGCGAATGACAGGGAGAGAGAGAGCGAATGAGAGAGAAACTGACTCATCACAATGTGTTTACACGTGATTCTCTACTAGCCGGGGGTTCAGGCCCTTTTAAATTAGAAATGCACCACAACATGCAGGCCAACTCCATAAGCAGCATTACCAAACCTTGCCCCATGCATTCCAGCGTGGCCCTTTCATGCCCTCCAGGGGGTTCCTACACTCAGCACGCCACATGCCTATGTGGTCACATTTAAGGCTATCTCCAAGGGAGAATGCAGGCTAATATACAGTATGACCAGGGCAAGAATTTGGGCAAGTCTTCTGCTGTAGGTGGCGCCATATAATTTTTATTTTGGTTGAGCATTGTAAACAGATGTTGTTTTTCATATCCGACTGTACCTGATCATGAGGTGGTGGATAGGGCTGCGGTAGTCACAAAATGTTGTCAGCCGGTGATTGTCAAGCAAATAACTGCCGGTCTCACAGTAACTGACCGTTAAAACATATAAACACATTTAGCATCTCCTGGCTTCCAAGCATAGCCTACAAGCCAATGATGCAGACCTTTGGAACATCTACATTTAAAAAAGTATAATAAATCAATTTAATATAGCCTACACCATTACTAAAAATCCATTTTTTATTTTAGACAGGTCTAAAGAAACATGATATGAAGAAAATGTTATCTATTTCAGAAGAACAGAATAGCATATGTTGTGTTGTCCTTATGTTAGGCCCTGATCTGGCTATGCCATATGGCTGTGGGCTACACTACTTCATTTAGCAGACAAGATTTGCTTAGAATTCCGTGGCATTATTTTATAGTATGAAGAATACAATTGAACATAGCTGAATAAAATAAGAAAGGATATTTTCTCCAAACGATTTGAGGGAGTGCGCACATGCGGCTATTCTGTGTTGAGCGGTTAACAAAGAAACGGGTCCTCCTATATGCTTAATTTAGAGTTATTTATTCAACTTTAGTTGTGATACAAACGTTAGGCTATATGTTTTGATTTTTAATACATTCTAAGGCTGCATGATGTGAAAAGTCGCATTAAAGGCATGAGCTCTGCTTTGTTTTTTTGCACAGGCTGCACAAACTTCATCAGTCTCTCATTCACAATTTGACAAGCACTTGTTAATGCCTCAAATTTCCAAGGCATCCCCTTTGTGTGGCCGTAACGCCCCCTAAACAAATCCATGCCTTTTGCGGCCAGTGGCCATTGTGCTGAATGTAATAATTATAATTCCCTTCTCCCGGCTGCGTGCTCTGAAGCACCTCTCACTCACATGGCTCTCTCAGATATCTCAATTCTTATTCACCAATGCCCGTCACGTGATCGGGTCCTTCTCACAGGCTACAAGTGAAGACAGACACATCGGGGATGCAACTGCACATGTCCTTATCGAATTCCGAGGAAAATATGGAAGATGTTGGAAGCACTGTCCACATTTACTTTTCATCAGCCAACAAGATGAGTAGGCCTAACAAACAGCAAAAGCACTAGCCTATGTCAATCTACTATCCCCCATAGTACAAAAGTTGACCCATTTTATTCTGTGCGGGAAATAAATATTCCAACCATAGTCTGGGACAGTTTTGGGATGCGATAGATCCCAAATTAATATAACCACTAGCATCAAAACATATTTTAAAAGCAATGAGGTTGACGCAACAAATCAGAACGTTTCGCTTAAAATGTTACACTATTACACTATGTCACGATCGTCATAATGATTGGACCAAGGCGCAGCGTGATATGCGTACATCTCTTTAATGTGTACTTAGCAACACGATACAACATACAAAACAACAAAACGAAACGTGAAGTCCTCGGTCATGAACACAAACCAACACGGAACAAGATCCCACAAAACACAAGTGCACAACAGGCTGCCTAAGTATGGTTCCCAATCAGAGACAACAAGCAACAGCTGATTCTCGTTGCCTCTGATTGAGAACCACCCCGGCCAACATAGAAAACACATGAACTAGAAACTGAACATAGAACACAAAACATAGACCCTACACACCCTGGCTCAACATTTAAGAGTCCCCAGAGCCAGGGCGTGACAGTACCCCCCCCCCCCCCAAAGGCGCGGACTGTGACCACGCCAACATAAACCCAAAAGGGGAGGGGCCAGGTGGGCATTCCACCTCGGAGGCGGATCCGGCTCCGGGCGTGACCACCACCCTCTAACAACCCCCCCATAGCGCCCCTGGTCTGGTCCCGCTGGCTGGAGCTGGACTGGACCTCGGTGGAGCGGATTGCTTAGTCTCCGGTGTGGAGCAGGCACTGGTGAAGCAGGCACGGGCTGTGCCGGACTGACGACGCGCACCATATGCTTGGTGCGGGGAGCAGGGACGGGCCGGACCGGGCTGGCGACGCGCACCACAGGCTTGGTGTGGGGAGCAGGAACAGGCCGGACCGGGCTGGTGACGCGCACCACAGGCTTGGTGCGGGGAGCAGGAACGGGCCGGGCTGGCGACGCGCATCACAGGCTTGGTGCGGGGAGCAGGAACGGGCCGGACCGGGCTGGCTAAGCGCACCACTGGCTTGGTGCGGAGAGCAGGAACAGGCCGGGCCGGGCTGGCGACGCGCACCATTGGCTTGGTGCGGGGAGCAGGAACATGACGGGCCGGGCTGGCGACGCGCACCACAGGCTTGGTGCGGGGAGCAGGAACAGGCCGGGCCGGGCTGGCGACGCGCACCATAGGCTTGGTGCGGGGAGCAGGAACAGGCCGGGCCGGGCTGGCGACGCGCACCATAGGCTTGGTGCGGGGAGCAGGAACGGGCCGGACCGGGCTGGCTAAGCGCACCACTGGCTTGGTGCGGAGAGCAGGAACAGGCCGGGCCGGGCTGGCGACGCGCACCATTGGCTTGGTGCGGGGAGCAGGAACATGCCGGGCCGGGCTGGCGACGCGCACCACAGGCTTGGTGCGGGGAGCAGGAACAGGCCGGGCTGGGCTGGCGACGCGCACCATAGGCTTGGTGCGGGGAGCAGGAACAGGCCGGGCCGGGCTGGCGACGCGCACCATAGGCTTGGTGCGGGGAGCAGGAACAGGCCGGGCCGGGCTGGCGACGCGCACCATTGGCTTGGTGCGAGGGGCAGGAACAGGCCGGGCCGGGCTGGCGACGCGCACCACAGGCTTGGTGCGAAGGGCAGGAACAGGCCGGGCCGGGCAGGAACAGGCCGGGCCGGGCTGGCGACGCGCATCACAGGCTTGGTGCGGGGAGCAGGTACGGGCCGGACCGGGCTGTGGAGACGGACTGGAGGTCTGGAGCGAAGAGCTGACACAACCCGTCCTGGCTTAATGCCTATTTTTACACACTCTGTGTGAGGCATCAGCACAGGACGTACGGGGCTGTGTACTCGTACTGGCACAACAGCACGTGACACTGGCGCAGGATATCCGGGACCGAGGAGGGGTACTGGAGGCCACGAGCGTTGAGCCGGCACACTCCGTCCTGGCTGCATGCCCACTTTAGCACGACACGTGTTTGGTGCTCGCACAGGACGTACCGGACTGTGCCGGACCACTCGCGGCACAGTACGCAGCTTTGCATACCTCGGAACCTGCCCAGTCTCACGCTGCCTAGCCTGAGTACTGGGAGTTGGCTCTACTCTACCTCTAGGCTCCGCCAACCTCCGTTCCAGCCCCCCAAACCCGGTGGCCTCCTCTCCTAATCCACAAACTCGCCCAGTAGCTGCCTCCAGCAGCCCCGTCGTCCATGCCGTGTGCCCCCCCAACATTTTTTATTGGGGTTGCCTCTTGCGTGTCCGACGTCGGCCCGGTTGGCGCCGCTGCTCCTCTCTATGGCGCGCCTCCACCGTCTCCTCCCACGGACGGCGATCCATACCGGCCTGGATTTCCTCCCAAGTCCAGGACCCCTGCCCGTCCAAGATCTCCTCCCAAGTCCAGGCTGTCTGCTCCTGGACACGCTGCTTGGTCCTGTTTTGGTGGGATCTCTGTCACGATCGTCATATTGATTGGACCAAGGCGCAGCGTGATATGCGTACATCTCTTTAATGTGTACTTAGCAACACGATACAACATACAAAACAACAAAACGAAACGTGAAGTCCTCGGTCATGAACACAAACCAACACGGAACAAGATCCCACAAAACACAAGTGCACAAGAGGCTGCCTAAGTATGGTTCCCAATAAGAGACAACAAGCAACAGCTGATTCTCGTTGCCTCTGATTGAGAACCACCCTGTCCAACATAGAAAACACATTAACTAGAAACTGAACATAGAACACAAAACATAGACCCTACACACCCTGGCTCAACATATAAGAGTCCCCAGAGCCAGGGCGACAAACTATTAGGTTATTTCTTCACCTTCTAAGCGCTGCAATGCGCACACAGCAGTAGGCTAAAAGTGTGAATGTTCCAAAATGCATTAAATTAGCGGGAAAACACCAATCTCAAAAGTGACCGCAAATGCGATTATGCATGTAATGCTTTTATTATAAAGGTGCATTTTTATGGTGAAGATTATCTTCCTCAAACTTGAAAATCACGCGCTGCGTATGTATGCCATTTAGGCTCTACACCTGTTGTAAAGCGGATTAATGTGCTTAATTTTAAGACGTTATTTGGCCACATTAGTTCATTAGTTGTGATACAAACCTTATCAAAACATATAGGCCTGTGGGCTACGCTACATGAGGTGTGTGACTATGATTTGCACAAATAAAAAGGCATGCGCTGCTTCTTGCATTACTGCTCCACAAGCTGGGCATCATTCACAAGAGATAGGCTCATATTGTCACCCATCAGACTATTCTTGATTGAATCTTGTATTTACATACAGTGCATTCGAAAAGTATTTCAGACCCCATTACTTTTTCCACGTTTTGTTATGCTACAGCCTTATTCTAAAATTGATTAAATTGTTTTTTCCCTCATCAATTCACACACAATACCCCATAATGACGAAGCAAAAACAGGTTTTCAGACATTTTTGCAAATGTATTAAACATAAGGATTCAGACCCTTTACTCAGTACGTTTATTTATTTATTTTAATTTTTTTAGGGGGTAGATCAGCTTTAATATTGTAGAAAGATTGTAGCTTCCATCAATGTAATTGTCTGCATCACTTCCAATCCCCCATATATTTTTTGAAAATATATACAGTATATACACTCCGGTCAAAAGTTTTAGAACACCTACTCATTCAAGGCTTTTTCTTTATTTTTACTATTTTCTACATTGTAGAATAATAGTGAAGACATCAAAACTATGAAATTATATATGGAATCATGTAGTAACCAAAAAAGTGTTAAACAAATCAAAATATATTTTAGATTATATAGATTCTTCAAAGCAGCCATCCTTTGCCTTGATGACAGCTTTGCACACTCTTGGCATTCTCTCAACCAGCTTCACTTGGAATGCTTTTCCAACAGTCTTGAAGGAGTTCCCACGTATGCTGAGCACTTGTTGGCTGCTTTTCCTTCACTCTGTGGTCCAACTCATCCCAAACCATCTCAATTGGGTAGAGGTCGGGCGATTGTGGAGGCCAGGTCATCTGATGCAGCACTCCATCACTCTCCTTCTTGGTCAAATAGCCCTTACACAGCCTGGAGGTGTGTTGGGTCATTGTCCTGTTGAAAAACAAATGATAGTCCCACTAAGCGCAAACCAGATGGGACGGCGTATCGCTGCAGATTTCTGCGGTAGCCATGCTGGTTAAGTGTGCCTTGAGTTCTAAATAAATTACTGACAGTGTCACCAGCAAAGCACCCCCACACCATCACACCTCATCCTCCATGCTTCACGGTGGGAACCACACATGCAGAGATAATCCGTTCACGTATTCTGCGTCTCACAAAGACACGGCGGTTGGAACCAAAAATCTCCAATTTGGAATCCAGACCAAAGGACAAATTTCCACCGGTCTAATGTCCATTGCTCATGTTTCTTGGCCCAAGCAAGTCTCTTCTTATTATTGGTGTCCTTTAGTAGTGGTTTCTTTGCAGCAATTCGACCACGAAGGCCTGATTCACGCAGTCTCCTCTGAACAGTTGATGTTGAGATGTGTCTGTTACTTTAACTCTGTGAAGCATTTACTTGGGCTGCAATCTGAGGTGTAGTTAACTCTAATAAACGTATCCTCTGCAGCAGAGGTAAATCTGGGTCTTCCTTTCTTGTGGCGGTCCTCATGAGAGCCAGTTTCATCATAGCGCTTGATGGTTTTTGCGACTGCACTTGAAGAAACATTAAAAGTTCTTGACATTTTCAGAATTGACTGACCTTCATGTCTTAAAGTAATGATGGACTGTCATTTCTCTTTGCTTATTTGAGCTGTTCTTGTCATAATATGGACTTGGTCTTTTAGCAAATAGGGCTATCTTCCGTATACCACCTCTTGTCACAACACAGCTGATTGGCTGAAACGCATTAAGAAGGAAAGAAATTCCACAAATTAACTTTTAACAAGGCACACCTGTTAATTGAAATGCATTCCAGGTGACTACCTCATGAAGCTGGTTGAGAGAATGCCAAGAGTTTGCAAAGCTGTCATCAAGGCAAAGGGTGGCTACTTTGAAGAATCTCAAATATAAAATATATTTTGATTTGAATAACACTTTTTTGGTTACTACATGATTCTAAATGTGTTATTTCATAATTTTGATGTCTTCACTATTATTCTACAATGTAGAGAATAGTAAAAATAAAGAAAAACCCTGGAATGAGTAGGTGTGTCCAAATTTTGACTGGTACTGTATATGTATGTATATGTATTTATATGTGTGTATGTACAGTACCAGTCAAAAGTTTGGACACACCTACTCATTCAAGGATTTTATTATTTTTACTATTTTCTACATTGTAGAATAGTAGTGAAGACATGGCTACTTTAAATATATATATATATATATATATATATATATATATATATATATATATATATATTCCTTTTTTACTTTCTAACCCTACCACCCCTCCCCTAATTGGAGTAAACTAGTGAACAACAACGCTTATGCCTCTACTTCCAGCTTATACATACTATATACATTTTATGGACACAGTCAATTTTACTATAGTTCTAATTGGTTTGTTTTTACTCCTGTTCTTCCTCTACCCTCAACCTCTCCCATCTATTTCTGATGTCCATCCAGTTTGATTTCTATTTGCCATATCTTTCAAACTGTGCTCTTTCACAAAAGTTCTTAACCTATAACCTATATACGTTTTAAGGACACAATATGTTTTACATTAGTTATCTTGTTGTTATTAGTTGTTATTAGTCCCAACCTTCAGCTCCTTTCAACCCCTCCCATCCATATTGCATTTCTATTTGCCATATATTTTTCAACTGTGCTGTGAAGTTCTGAACCTTTCTGTTCTCATTGTTTCTACAGATTGTAAATTGAAAATAAACATTTTTGCTAAAAGTATTATTATATTATTGATCGATTGACTATGACTTTTCAGATCACCCAGTAGTGCTACCTGCAGGGTTGCCTCCAGGTAAATATTGCAATTCTTCAGCCATTCCTGGACCTGTGACCAAAAACAAGCTACATATGGATAGTACAACAAAAAAAAAGATCTAATGATTCTGTCTCTTCGCTGCAAGATCTGCAGAGCTGGGAAGGTTGTATCCCCCATATAAATAACATTCTATTGGTTGCAAGAATTTTGTATAATAATTTTAATTTAAAAAGTATACATGTTGAATCCGGCGTCGTTTTGCTTATCAGTTCATAAACCATGTGCCATGGAATCGGTACGTCAAAAATCTCTTCCAAAATATTTTGCAATCTATATGGCACGGCTGTCAATTTTTTGGTCCTTAAATGAAACTGATATACTTTTTTATTTATCACAATTTTCTTTAACCAATTATGTTCTTTAATGCAGGGCCGACAGACAAGTTCCTTACTTTTCCCCCTTCTACTTTCCTCTTCCATTTTTGTGGTAATGCTGCAATCAGTTGGTTGTAATTTTGGGTAGAGCAGACATGTCCATATGTTTTTGTTAGCTGCATGTGCGACATAACTCCACCATTCCTACCTCTGATATAATTTACGAAGATTATACCTTTTTTGTTTTTTTATTTTAAAAAATAACGTTTTTTTATCAATTAGTATATTTGAGTTTAACCACAACATTTGTTGCATTATTTGTACTGTCCTTTCTGGTGGATTAAATTGAAATTGCAACCAACTTTCTATGATTTGTTTTAAAAATAGCGATATTTGGGAGATGATTTCCTTTTCAAATAACTGAAAGTGAGATGTAATCTGAATAAACGGAAAAAGACCATTCTTGAAGATAGGAAGAGATATTCTTACTAATTTGCTTGAGAACCAGTTCGGATTTTAGGATAACTAACACTACCGTTCAAAAGTTTGGAGTCGGCAATTTATTTGTCCATTAAAATAACATGAAAGTGATCAGAAATACAGTGTAAACATTGTTAATGTTGTAAATGAATATTGTAGCTGGAAATGGCTGATTTTTTATGGAATATCTACATAGGCGTACAGAGGCCCATCATCAGCAACCATCAGTCCTGTTTTCCAATGTCATGTTGTGTTTGCTAATCCACGGTTATCATTTTAAAAGGCTAATTGATCATTAGAAGACCCTTTTGTTAGCACAGCTGAAAACTGTTGTGCTGATTAAAGAAGCAATAAAACTGGCCTTCTTGAGACTAGTGTAGTACTTTCTTCTGAAACTCGTCAGTCTATTCTTGTTCTGAGAAATGAAGGCTATTCCATGCAAGAAATTGCCAAGAAACAAAAGATCTCGTACAACGCTGTGTAATACTCCCTTCACAGAACAGCACAAACTGGCTCTAACCAGAATAGAAAGAGGAGTGGGAGGCCCCGGTGTACAACTGAGCAAGAGGACAAATACAATAGAGTGTCTAGTTTGAGAAACAGGCGCCTCACAGGTCCTCAACTGGCAGCTTCATTAAATAGTGCCCGCAAAACACCAGTCTCAACGTCAACAGTGAAGAGGCGACTCCGGGATGCTGACCTTCTAGGCAGAGTTGCAAAGAAAAAGCCATATCTCAGACTGGTCAACAAAAAGAAAAGATTAAGATTGGTAAAAAGTGTTATGGACAGACGAATCAAAGTTTGAGGTGTTTGGATCACAAACAAGAACATTTGTGAGACACAGACCAAATGAAAAGATGCTGGAGGAGTGCTTGATGCCATCAGTCAAGCATGGTGGAGGCAATGTGATGGTCTGGGGGTGCTTTGGTTGTGGTAAAGTGGGGGATTTGTACAGGGTAAAAGGGATCTTGAAGAAGGAAGGCTATCACTCCATTTTGCAACGCCATGCTATACCCTGTGGATGGCGCTTGATTGGAGCCAATTTCCTCCTACAACAGGACAATGACCCAAAGCAGAGCTCCAAACTATGCAATAACTATTTAGGGGTATTCTGTCTATAATGGAGTGGCCAGCACAGTCACCGGATCTCAACCCTATTGAGCTGTTGTGGGAGCAGCTTGACCGTATGGTACGTAAGAAGTGCCCATCAAGCCAATCCAACTTGTGGGAGGTGCTTCAGGAAGCATGGGGTGAAATCTCTTCAGATTACCTCAACAAATTGACAACTAGAATGCCAAAGGTCTGCAAGGCTGTAATTGCTGCAAATGGAGGATTATTTGACGAAAGCAAAGTTTGAAGGAGACAATTATTATTTCAATAAAAAATCATTATTTCTAACCTTGTCAATGACTACATTTCCTATTCATTTTGCTATATTTCCTATTCAAACTCATTTCATATATGTTTTCATGGAAAACAAGGACATTTCTAAGTGACCCCAAAATTTTGAACGGTAGTTTATGTATGACTGAAGACTTTAGTGAGAGGTCTAATGCTTTAATATTTAATAATTTCTGCCCTCCTAATTCATATTCATTATATAAATAGGCCCGTTTAATTTTCTCTGGTGTGCCATTCCAAATCAAATGGAATCTTTTTTTCTCATATAATTTTAAAAATTGTTTGCTAGGTGTAGGCAAGAAAATAAGCAAATAGGTAAACTGGGATATTACTAAAGAGTTAATCAGGGTGATTTTTCCACAAATAGACAGGTATTTACCTTTCCATGGTAGCAAGATCTTATCTATTTTTGCTAAATTTCTATTAAAGTTTATTGGAGTGAGATCATTTATTTCATTTGGGATATGTATTCCGAGTATATCCACATCACCATCAGACCATTTTATTGGTAAACTACATGGTAATGTAAATTCTTTGTTTTTTTGTGATCAATACATAATATAGTGCACTTATCAAAATTTGGTTGTAATCCAGAGATGTTAGAAAAATTACCTAGATCCTCTATGAGTGTCACGCTCTGGCTCCGGGACTGTGTTGTTTGAGCCAGGGTGTATTCATTTGGTTGTGTTGGTATAGGGTGTTGTTCATTTGTTGTGTTTGGTTGTTGGTTTTGTTTCCGTGTTTGGTCAGTGACTCCCAATCGGAGGTAACGAGTGTCAGCTGTCGGCTCGTTATCTCTGATTGGGAGCCATATTTATACTGTGTGTTTTCACCTTGTGGTGGCGAGAGAGGAGCAACGGCGTCAGCAGGGTCATCGTTGGAAGGACGTGAGGCAACCCCAAAAAGTTTTTTGGGGGGGGCACATGGCTTGGGCGGCTGGGCAGCAGGAGGCTGCCACAGAGAGACGTGGAGAGAAGGCTACCGGATTACGGGAGCCATTGGCGAGTAGAGGGAGGGAAGCAGTTGAGGCACGGCGTAAGAGACTGAGGTGTGTTACCAGTCCGGTCCGGCCCGTTCCTGATCCCCGGTTAAGGCCAGTGGTGTGTGTTCCCAGTACGGACCGGCCTGTTCCTACTCCACGCATCAAGCCTACGGTGTGCGTCGCCAGCCCGACCCGGCCTGTTCCTGCCACTCGCACCAAACTTACGGTGCGCGTCGCCAGCCCGGTCCGGCCTGTTCCTGCCACCCGCACCAAGTCTACGGTGTGCGTCGCCAGCCCGACCCGGCCTGTTCCTGCCACTCGCACCAAACCTACGGTGCGCGTCGCCAGCCCGGTCCGGCCTGTTCCTGCCACCCGCACCAAGTCTACGGTGTGCGTCGCCAGCCCGACCCGGCCTGTTCCTGCCACTCGCACCAAACCTACGGTGCGCGTCGCCAGCCCGGTCCGGCCTGTTCCTGCCACCCGCACCAAGTCTACGGTGTGCGTCGCCAGCCCGGTCCGGCCTGTTCCTGCCACCCGCACCAAGTCTACGGTGCGCGTCGCCAGCCCGGTCCGGCCTGTTCCTGCCACCCGCACCAAGTCTACGGTGTGCGTCGCCAGCCCGGTCCGGCCTGTTCCTGCCACCCGCACCAAGTCTACGGTGCGCGTCGCCAGCCCGACCCGGCCTGTTCCTGCCACCCGCACCAAGACTACGGTGCGCGTCGCCAGCCCGGTCCGGCCTGTTCCTGCCACCCGCACCAAGTCTACGGTGCGCGTCGCCAGCCCGGTCCGGCCTGTTCCGGCACCACGCACCAGGCCTATAGTGCGTCTCGGCCGGCCAGAGTCTGCCGTCTGCCCAACGGCGCCTGAACTGACCGTCTGCCCAACGGCGCCTGAACTGCCCGTCTGCCCAACGGCGCCTGAACTGCCCGTCTGCCCAACGGCGCTTGAACTGCCCGTCTGCCCAAAGGCGCCTGAACTGCCTGTCTGCCCAACGCCGTCTGAACTGTCCGTCTGCCAAGCGCTGCATAAGCCGCCCGTCTGCCATGAGCCTTCAGAGCCGTCCGCCAGACCGGAGCCGCTAAAGCCTTCCGCCAGACAGGATCAGCCAGAGCCTTCCGCCAGACAGGATCAGCCAGAGCCTTCCGCCAGACAGGATCAGCCAGAGCCTTCCGCCAGACAGGATCAGCCAGAGCCTTCCGCCAGACAGGATCAGCCAGAGCCTTCCGCCAGACAGGATCAGCCAGAGCCTTCCGCCAGCCATGAGCAGCCAGATCCGTCAGCCTGCCATGAGCAGCCAGATCCGTCAGCCAGCCATGAGCAGCCAGATCCGTCAGCCAGCCATGAGCAGCCAGATCCGTCAGCCAGCCATGAGCAGCCAGATCCGTCAGCCAGCCATGAGCAGCCAGATCCGTCAGCCAGCCATGAGCCGTCCAGCCAGGATCCGCCAGAGCCAGCCAGCCAGGATCTGCCATTCAGTCTGGTGCTGCCTCTTAGTCCGGTGCTGCCTCTTAGTCCGGTGCTGCCCCTTAATCCGGTGGGGGTCAGTTGGAGGAGGCTACGAAAGCGGGTAGTGACTATGGTGGGGTGGGGACCACGACCGGAGCCAGAACCACCGCCGAGGAGGTATGCCCGCCCAGCCCTCCCTTGTTTAGCCCGTATTGAGGCGCGGTCGCAGTCCGCGCCTTTAGGGGGGGGTACTGTCACGCTCTGGCTCCGGGACTGTGTTGTTTGAGCCAGGGTGTATTCATTTGGTTGTGTTGGGTATAGGGTGTGTTCATTTGTTGTGTTTGGTTTTTGGTTTTGTTTCCGTGTTTGGTCAGTGACTCCCAATCGGAGGTAACGAGTGTCAGCTGTCGGCTCGTTATCTCTGATTGGGAGCCATATTTATACTGTGTGTTTTCACCTTGTGGTGGTGGGTTTTTGTTCCAAGTTCAGTCATTGTCACTGTTGGACTTCACTATCGTCTTTTGTTTTGTATTTACGTGCTGTACTCATTAAAGTCATCATGTTCACTCAACGCGCTGCGTATTGGTCTGCTCCCTTTCAAGACGGTCGTGACAATGAGGCTGTGGAGGGATCCAAGTTGTGGATTTAAAAGAAAACATGAATCATCAGCGTACAATGACACCTTTGTTATTAAGCCCTGGATTTCTAATCCCTTGATATTATGGTTAGATCTGATTTTTAATAGCTAATATTTCGATGGCCATAATAAATAGATATACCGATAGTGGACAACCTTGTTATACTCCACTTGATATTTTAGAACTTTCTGAGAAGTAGCCATTATTTACTATTTTACACATAGGGTTACTATACATGATTTTAACCCATTTTATAAGAGATTCTCCAAAATTGAAATGTTCCAGGCATTTATACACAGTATAAACTCCTATGCTATGAATAGCAGGCCTGGTTTCCCTGATTTTTCATAGTGTTCTATTGTTTCCAGTACTTGCCTTGTATTATCTCCAATGTATCGTCCATGTAAAAAAACAGTCTGATTAGAATGAATAATGTCCGACAATACCTTTTTAATTCTATGCGCTATACATTTTGCTAGAATTTTTGCATTACAACCCTGAAGTGTACGGGCCTCCAATTTTTTTAATGGACTGGATCTTTATATTTCCCACTTGTATCCCGTTTCAGTAATAGTTAAATCAGACCTTCTTGTTGAGTGTCTGATAATCTACCATTTACATAGGAGTGGGTAAAACATGCTAATAACGGTCCTCTGAGTATATCAAAACTGGTATGCCATCCAGCCCTTTATTCAGTACTTTGTTGAAGCACATTTGGCAGCGATTACAGCCTCGTGTCTTCTTGGGTATGATGCTACAAGCTTGGCATTCCTGTATTTGGGGAGTTTCTCACATTCCTCTCTGCAGATCCTCTCAAGCTCTGTCAGGTTGGATGGGGAGCGTCACTGCACTGCCTTTTTCAGGTCTCTCCAGAGATGTTAGATATGGTTCAAGTCCGGGCTCTGGCTGGGCCACTCAAGGACATTCAGAGACTTGTCCTGAAGCCACTCCTGCATTGTCTTGGCTGTGTGCTTAAGGTCGTTGTCCTGTTGGAAGGTCAACCTTTGCCCCAGTCTGAGGTCCTGAGCGCTCCGGAGCAGGTTTTCATCAAGGATCTCTCTGTACTTTGCTCCGTTCATCTTTCTCTCGATCCTGACTAGTCTCCCAGTCCCACTGAAAAACATCCCCACAGCATGATGCTGACACCACCACGCTTCACCGTAGGGATGGTGCCAGATTTCCTCAGACGTGACACTTGGCATTCAGGCTAAAGAGTTCAATCTTGGTTTCATCAGACCAGAGAATCTTGTTTCTCATGGTCTGAGAGTCCTTTAGGTGCTTTTTGGCAAACTCCAAGCGGCTGTCATGTGCCTTTTACTGAGGAGTGGCTTCCGTCTGGCCACTCTACCGTAATGGTGGCTCTGTCAGAGTGACCAACGGGATTTTGGTCACCTCTTTGTCCAAGGCCCTTCTCCTTCTCCCCTTCTGCAATTCCTTCGACCTCATGCCTTGGTATTTGCTCTGACATGCATTGTCCACTGTGGGACCTTATATAGACAGATGTGTGCCTTTCCAAATTATGTCCAATCAATTTAATTTACAACAGGTGGACCCCAATCAAGTTGTAGAAACATCTCAAGGATGATCAATGGAAACGGGATGCACCTGAGCTCAATTTTGAGTCTCATAGCAAAGGGTCTGAATACTTATGTACATTTCCGAATGAACTAAATAATATATGTGAAAAATTAGTTTTGATTTAGAATGGACCACTATCATGCACCTGTCTCGAAACATGGGCAGCGGGAAAAAAATAAATGTAATCTATGCACTTAAATAGCGAATGGAAGACACTTTTCCTATGGTTCATTTTCATGCCAGCCAGGTAGGCTATACTCCTGTTGTAAAGAGAAGCAATGTGCTTAATATTAGGAAAGTTGAGAAATAAATATAGTAAGCCTATAGAGAGCTGATGGGATCCACCTCTTTTTAATAGAGGGCATCACTGTTTTTTCTCACGCAATTGCATATCCTATAGAAATATTGCATAGCTTTCATAAATTGTTTTATTCGATTTTCGAGGACATTTGCATTGATGTCAAGTGATTAGAGAGACAATATAGTGCTGAGTACCAGACAGTTAGCAGGTTTGGTATTCTGCTAATGACCATCAGCAGCATCAGAGCTTGGAGAAGCCAAATTACCGTGACTAAACGGTCACGTGGAATTAAACTGCCGTCATGACTCGTGACCGCCGGTGTGGCAGACCTGCACACAAGTGTTTTTAAGGACATGTAACTTGCAGGACCATGAGGAAACAGTGAATCCAGCAATTCATCTAACCCAAGTTGCCATCACATCCATAACATCAATCCATAATACAAATCTGAACACAGTTCACATGAACGTAATCAGAGCTCCGTTGAGTGCATAAAGTGCCTTAATAAAGCAACCTCTATATAGTCTACATAGACCTGCAAAAACACACCTCTTTGGTTAGTGCAGTTTGAACTTCCAGTCTCACCTTGTCGTTCTTCTTAGTAACTGAGCTCTTGCTCTTTTCTGCAGACGATTGCCTCTTAATAGCCATCTTGCTGTCTTTGGACTTGGAGGCCTTGTGTGCTGTAGGACCCATAAACATCATCTCCATAACCCGGGGGCTCTTCACCATCTCCCCAATGAATCTGATGACCTGATGGATGCTGAGGACCTGCTTTTCCATAACGTCCAGCTTCTCAGCCTGCTTCTCCGAGCGCTGGTCCAGCCCTGTCATGATGGAGCTCATCTCCTGATACATCTCTCTCACCTCGCCCCCCATGCCCGTGCCTTGGGTCTGAGCCAGGGCTGGGGGTAGAGTTAGGGCTCTGGCAGGGATATGGATCTCCTCCTTGTACACCTTCAGAGTTTCCATGTCCCTCTCTATATCGTAAATGTCCTGGGACATTCCGTCCATCCGGTTGAGGACCTTCTCCTGGATGTTGATGAGTTTGTCCATCTTACTGTTCAGAAGCTCGATGCGATTCTGAATGAGGTCCAAGCCGGCACCAGTGCAGTCGGTTACGTTATCCATTGTGCTTGGCTTTCATGGGGTTGAGTTATAGTTCACTATCTTTGAACTCATGATATAATCATGTTAGGATGCCCAATTGAGACAGAAAAGGGGTCACGGAAAAGTTGATGACCAACGTCTGTGAGACAGACGGGGAAACTTTTGGGGAAGACACAGCCAGCCTTATCCCACTGTGTTCGTCTTCAAGGGTACAGACAAGCTGATCTAATGACGGAAATGGGAATGAAATGCTACTTTCTCGATGAAAAATAAATAAGTGAACAAAATTCAAATCCATAAAGAGTAAAAACAGAAAGATACAGCTAGCAACTGTCACCGTAATCTGTGAGATTGTCCCTATGCCCCTATGTCTTTCACCCACTGTTTGACACCTCTGCACTTCTCCCTACTGGAGGTGGTTTTAAGAATGGAATAAGCCGGTCTCCCTAAATGTAAACGGAACAGCCAACGTCAGCAGGGGACCAGCCATTGGGGCGGGGGGCTGTGGGGTGGGGGGCTGTAAGGGGCAGGGATTCGGCTCTGGAGGGGCTGTCAGACAAATGTTAAGCCCACGTCTGTCGCCAGTTGCTGGCCCGTCTGCCAAGTTTTTAAATGGCCAGTGTACACAGTACCTCTCTCTGAGGCAGAGTGGAAAGTTGTCTGGGATGATGCTAAACACTTTATTTTACTTTAGTTGCATGTAAATTAGTAGACTTTTCAGTCTGACTTGGTGGTTTCACAATGATTAGGCTGAACAGGTGCTCACAGTTGGGGAGGGGAAAGGAGGGGGGGTCACTGACAAGTTTTATTTATAACCGGTAAGGGACATTTTTAGGTCAATTCAAAATATCAAACAATCATGTCAAAAGTGCCACTCACACATAACAGCTGTGTTTGCATTTTTTTTTAAATAAGATCTTTATTAATGACTGGTGGAGCAATTCACACCTTCTCAGTGTTTATGAGAACCTGAAAAAATAATGGTCGCAATAACATTGGGAAAATACCTGCATGTGTGTCCTGATTTTCAGTATTTAAGATTCTCTTTGCTGGCTGCGAAACAGCTGTAACTAGCACCCACCCAGTGAGGGAGCAAGAGAAAATCAAGGCAGGTTCAGGTTGTAGCCTGCAGTCCCCTGGCTGAGAAAGCGCTTAAGGTCTTTAGCCTCTGTGCTGAAATAGGAGAGGGGGTGACAGCCATGATTAATACTGTGTCTCTCTCTGACAAGCACATCCAGTCAGATCTTTCCCACACCATCACATACGCTTAGCCTACTCACAGACAGTTAAGACAGTTATGAAACAATTTTAGCTTAGGGCCTGGTAATTGGACCCCTCAACAGTGTACCCTATAAGCCTATCAAAATATGCTTGACACAGTGGGCCTTCTGGGATATATGTGCTTTGTATCAATGGAAAGTGTAATAACACTGATCCTGGAGGAATGGATGTACCTGCTGACTCCATAATGGGTGCGTGATTCGGTCAGGTGTCAGTGTGTAGCGGTAGGACGGAGTCAGGCGCAGGACACAGAACTTAGTCAACGACGTACTTTACATATCACAAGTAAATAAACATATCTTCCGCGCAGGGAAGAAAAATACCGACTCACAGGCAAATGACAAACAAGACAACGAACAATCACGCACAACACCATGAGAGAACCAGAGGGTAAAATAGGGAAACAAATTAACATAAATTGGAACCAGGTGTGTACAATAAAGACAAAACAAGTAGAACACAGAAACATAGATCGGTGGCAGCAAGTACTGCGGTGACGACGAACCCCGAAGCCTGCCCGAGCAAGGAGGAGCAGCAGCCTCGGCTGAATTCGTGACACATATTGGATAAATGTTGTACTGTACTGCATACAGAATATGCATGTTGGCATACACAACTGTCATAAATGTATTACTACACTTATTATATATATTGTAATTCATAGATGGATGATAATATAGTTTTACCCATGCCACTTGAACTCAACTAAGAGGACACTTCAAATGATCATGGTGTCATTGATGTGTGTGCCAACTCATGCCCCCGTCCAGTCCCATCATAGATCCAGGGATGATACGGCTAAGGAGACATTCAGATTAGCCCGCCCTCCCAGGCCTCTGTGAAACATGTCATTGACAAAGACAGGGGCCCACAGACTGCAAACTGGGAGAGGCACCTGTCCTTGGGCACCAACAGGTGACAGAATGGTAATTTCGACAACGTAGGTAATTTGGCTCAGCTTGTGTCACTTTGAGAGGTGCAGAGGGTTACCTTACCTTACGCATGCAATTATTTTCATGGAATAAAAATGTTCCATTGAGCGAGGGGAAAGGAAAGTCAAGGCTGGGCTGCCTCAGAGGATCATCGCACACAAGTTGCTCATAAATCAACTTTGAGCTTAAATACTCACACTACTACTAATTTAATTTCTACTAATTCAATTGAACACTGGCTGATCAACGGTCGCACTCAATGGTACAGATCTGAAAATATAGTGCTCTAAAGAATACTACAGCAGATACTGTATCTATTTACCTGAATATTTCTGTCCTCCAATACAGGCCTTGGAGCATGCTATAAACTGCAGCTCTAAGTAGCAGACCACAAAACTCTGAGCACAACTGTGAAAGCTTTCCCAGATATGGGGTAAAATGTTCACATCAACCTCAAAAGTCTATGCCTGTAATTGTGCTTCATATTAGACTACATTGGTGTGAGCCGGCTGGGGGGAACCTGTAAGACGATTAAACTGTGGATGAGGCCGGGAGGAGTAAACAGGCTTCAGTAGTGGGGCTGATTACATGAACCAGAGGTCGAGTTTACATCACCAACACTTTACAGTGAAACTGGAGCAGTGGCCGTCAGAGAGCCCAAACTCAAGTCCCTACCTACCCACCCTCTCAATATCTGCCAAGTGGAGGAGCTACAGTATGTGTGGAGCATTTACAACTTTAGCCACACACACACAGACACATACACACACACACACACACACACACACACACACACACACACACACACACACACAGGAGGGTGGCAGGCAGCAAAGGAATCGCATTTTCAAAATGTAATTTTATTAATGTGTGTGTGTGAGTGCGTGCGTGCGTGTGTGTGTGCGCGTGAGTGTGTGTGTGCAGGCACGTGTGTGTCCGCGCAAGCGTGTGCACATGTGTGTGCATGTTTGAACGTGTGTGTGTCCTGACTGACCCTGTAGGTTTGGAACACCTGATTACTTGTTTTACAGACTAATAACAAAGAGTTCTCTAGGTCAGCTGCAAGACGGTATTGGGGAAAACTGTCATTCTCCTCAACAATCTCCTACTTGTTTACATCACAAATTACTCAAAAGACTCAGATAGTCTATATTGTTAGATGCAGAAGGGAAATTACTTTCACCTGCTGTTGCTAAATCACATTACACCCCTTATTAGTGAGTATTAGCAAGTACTGTAGCACATTTACCATGACACTACTAGGGAAAGCGATACAGCACACTTGCATGCAAACTCACACACACATCTCGAATTATGCTAATGTCTGCGTTAATTTTAACCGTGTCTTATTCTGAGCAGGATAAACAGTCTCTGCCGGGGGAGTATACCGTGTGGTGGAGTGACCTGTGTGGTATTAGAGGGGTGTTTGTTTGGCAAGGAGACAAACTATGCTGTTATAAATGGACCTCTGCCTCTCTCACCCAGAACACACTGTCCTGTCCTGGGATGCTGCAGGGTCCCCCCCCCCCCCCCCCTATATTCACTTGTTTTATTTACTGAACTTTGTAAACATTGTGGGAGGAGTACTACATTTAACTGAATTTACTGTTAAAATAAATAAAATAAACATGTATGCACTAGTATGTTTTTGCATATTGGTAATGAAAATGTGTTTTGATTAGGTAATAAGAGTTTGTGTTATTCATTAGGTAATTATCATGTAGTTACCATTTCATCATGTAATTACAAGTACATTCCAGAAAAGTAGCAGGCTAAAATGAAGATTAACTTTAATTTATTGATTTATCTTGCTATCTTGCTTTTCATTTGTGATTTTATAAGGAAGGAACCTTCAATACATTAGTTCACTGAGCTTGATCACATTCTGTATTTCTCAACACTTGACAGCAGGTGGCGCTCTTAGTCAAGCTCAAGGGAGGCCCATTACTTCAGGACAGTCCTCATAAGCGATGGACTAGAAGTTGGGGCATGTCAAGATATTGCTAGATCAAAGTTTTATTTTTTGTAAGTTTGTTTAATTGTTTGTATGATCAGCTGATGTATCAAAAATACTGAGTGGCGCAGTGGTCTAAGGCACTGCATCCCAGTGCTAACTGTGCCACTAGAGATCCTGGTTCGAATCCAGGCTCTGTCGCAGCCGGCCGCGACCGGGAGACTCATGGGCGGTGCACAATTGGCCCAGCGTCGTCCAGGGTAGGGGAGGGAATGGCCGGCAGGGATGTAGCTCAGTTGATAGAGCATGGTGTTTGCAACGCCAGGGTTGTGGGTTCGATTCCCACTGGGGGCCAGTATAAAAAAAAATATGTATTCACTAACTGTAAGTCGCTCTGGATAAGAGCGTCTGCTAAATGACTAAAATGTAAAATGTAAAAAGGGCAATCTACACCTACTGCAGGAATGTCCACCAGAGCTGTTGCCAGAGAATGTAATGTTAATATCTCCACGTGTAACCACACCAGCCCAGGACCTCCACATCCGGCTTCTTCACCTGCAGGATCGTTGTGAGACCAGCCACCCGAACAGCTGATGAAACTGTGGAGTATTTCTGTCTTTAAAAAAGTCATTTTGTGGGGAAAAACTCATTCTGATTGGATGGGCCTGGCTCCCCAGTGTGGTGGGCCTATGCCCTCACAGGCCCATCCATGGCTGCGCCCCTGCCAAGTCATGTGAAATCCATAGATTAGGGCCTAATGAATTTATTTAAATTGACTGTTTTCCTTATATGAACTGCAACTGAGTAAAATTGTTGAAATTGTTGCTTGTTGGGTTTATATTTTTGTTCAGTAT